CTTGGGCAGTCTGCCTGCCCGTGGGGGGGGGAAGAAGCTTTAGCCGCAACAGAGCTTGAGTCTAGTAAGGCTTTGGACTCCGTCCCACCTGACAATCCCAGAAGCTAACTAGGAAGCTGTGGGCAGGAGCGGCCGTAGATGAGCTGCTGGCAACTGGCGCCCTAGGCAAAACGCGCGATCAGCACCCCCTGCCTCCAAAGCCCTCAACAGCCGTTTATCTTGGCACCCTAGGCGACTGCCTAGTTTGCACCTATGGACGAGCCGCCACGGGCTGTGGGTCGCTGTATGGGAGACGCACAACCGGTTGAAAAAACAGATTCAAAGGGGTAATCAATAGTTTGCTGTGAAACTTGGAAGAGGCAGCGATGAGAAGCCCAAAGTACGTCCTTCGGGAAGAAAAACTCGCATGCACGGCTCCAAACGGGGGCACAGCCGGCTGGGGGCCGTGCAGGGGGAGAGCAGCTGCCGGGCTTCCAGCAGGTCCCAGACGGAACGTGAGTCAGCAACGGGAGGCAGCTGCGCAACAGGCGAATCTCCCTGCGGGTGTAGCCACAGGCGTGTCATATGTCAGGCGAGGGGCGACTGTCCCGCTCGCCACAAGGCATGGGGCTTAATGGGGTTCCAAAGATGAGGGTGATCCGCTCTGTGCCGTGTCCACTGGAGGCAGGGCAAGGGGGACTAGGCCTAATCTGCAGCCAGAGAGATCGAGGGGAGAAATCAGGACAAACTTTCTAACTCTCTGGGAGTCAAGCCTGGAACCGGCTTTCCCGCCAATGGGGGATCCCGTCACTGGAGGTTTTTAAGACCAGGCTGGACACACCCTGGGCAGGACTAGGTTTACAAGGCCTTGCCTGAAGGTCCCTTCCACACTGATATTTCTCTGATACCGACTGGCTCAGACCCTACTTAGCTTGCAAACTAAAATGCAGGGACTCTCCCAGACCTGGCAAGAGAATCTGAGAGTCCTGGTTCCCAGCCCTGACTGCTCAAACCACTAGGCCCCACTCCTCCCCCAGAGCGGGGAACACACCAGGAGTCCCACGTCTGCCTTGCCGTGACCCACGCTCGCGTAGAAACATGCAGGCTTGCACTGGATGTGATGATCGCCCTGGAGGAAAGGCCGGGAGCATTTACCACATTTCAGCTGCAAATTCCACTGTGCTTCCCTCTCCCCCCAAAAAGATGCTCTTTGTGGGATGGTTGTTAAACAGGTTCCATGCCTCACCCCAGAAGGAGCTGCATCTCGGCCCTACATGGAGAAGGCCTGTGTGAGCAGCTGCTACGCTTCACCCCAGAGGACGCTGCATCTCAGCCCTACACGGAGAAAGCCTGCGTGAGCAACTGCTACACTTCACCCCAGAGGAAGCTGCATCTCAGCCCTACACGGAGAAAGCCTGCGTGAGCAACTGCTACACTTCACCCCAGAGGAAGCTGCATCTCAGCCCTACACGGAGAAAGCCTGCGTGAGCAACTGCTACACTTCACCCCAGAGGAAGCTGCATCTCAGCCCTACACGGAGAAAGCCTGCGTGAGCAACTGCTACACTTCACCCCAGAGGAAGCTGCATCTCAGCCCTACACGGAGAAAGCCTGCGTGAGCAACTGCTACACTTCACCCCAGAGGAAGCTGCATCTCAGCCCTACACGGAGAAAGCCTGCGTGAGCAACTGCTACACTTCACCCCAGAGGAAGCTGCATCTCAGCCCTACACGGAGAAAGCCTGCGTGAGCAACTGCTACGCTTCTCCCCAGAGGAAGCCGCATCTCAGCGCTGCATAGAGAAAAACAGCCCCTTGGGCACAACGGAAACACGAGCCACTCAGTGCAAGGGGCAGATCACTTTATCGACCAGGGCAAGTGCATCCCAGGCTCTGCCAACAAGGCAAAGTCTTGTCTGATGCAAGCGGGTGAAGAGCCAAAGGAAATCCACGACTTTATGGACACAGAGGTACTTCTCAGCTGAAGACTGGGCCATGCATGGGTGTGGGGAGGGCAGGGTCTGATCCTCATGCTGCCCTTTCCCTGCACCAGTGCAAATGCTAATCTGAACCCCGATTTGCTCTGCTGCAGACCTCTGCTCCGGGCACAGAGCGAGGAGGAATCAAGCCCCTTGCTGTGGGACACCTCTCGGTCCCTCATGCCTGGTGATTAGCCACAAACTGCCTTTGCCAGGGAAGCCTAGCTGTGTTTAGCTGAGGAAGCCCTCTGGGCTAAGAACAATAGCACTTTCCTTTTCCATCTAAGAGCCTCCATGTAGAAGCACCATTAACCCCTTGCGCAAACAGTGCAGTGTTGGTGCAACTCACACCATGCAAAAGTGCACTGCCTGGTCCTGGCACAAGCCCCTCTTGTGCAAACTACACTGCACAATGCTAGTGCAATCTACACTGCACTGTACGCAACACTGTTGCAAGCTTCCCTCGTGCAAACTACGCCATTCTGGTGCTGCTGGGGCAAGCCTTCTTGTGCAAAACGCACTGTGTCCTGCTGCAACGTGTGGGGGCAATCCCTCCTCGTGAAAACTGCCCTGACACCAACTCCCCCTCGTGCAAAGTGGTGTGAACGGCGGCTTGCACCATCCCAGCTTCCCTGGGGCAAAGTCTGGAGGCTCATCCGCCTGTCAGGAACCAGCAGAGGAGTCTCGCACCTCCCTGCCAATCAGCAAGGCCTGACCCATGTTTGGCTCCGTCCGGGGGGGCTGGCGAAAGGTCAGGCTGGCCCGGTGGCCAGCCCTCGCCGAGGAGTGTAACACAATCATATCAGGCAGCCCTTCTGCCCTCCTCCCTCCCCACGCCTCCTGCCCTCTTTCCTGGGGCTGCCAGGAGCTGGCACCGCTCATGCCTGCTGCCTGTCGGGAGGGCCGACGGCTCGAATTCCTGCACCGGTCACCGCTTCCCCCCATTCATCTCCACGTCCCCGGGCACAATCAGCACAGGCTGAGAACACAATGCAGCCTATTTTAGGCCCAGCGACTTCAACCAGAGCAAGCACTTTAGCCCTCGGGCGTTTCAATAGTTGTGTGCCACATCCCGCTCCAGGAGGGACAGGTGCCCCCACTGCCCTTACAGGGACAGGGAACCAACTAGGGGAGATTCACCCAATGATCCAAGCCGGTGACCCACGCATCACGCTGCACACCCCAGAAACCATCGGACCAACTGTGTATCCGGGAGAGCAAAACCTTCCTGACCCCTGAAAGGGGGCTGGGTAAAGCCCTGGAGCATGAGACTGTATTATAGTCACTGTCTTAACACAGAGCAGCAGGTGTTAAATGCACATTGAGCTCTGCCACCGAGAACTGTGACCAAGATGTAGCAACAACTGTGACCCCTAACTTTCTAAGCAAAAAGATGGGGGGAGGAAATTTGATGGGACAAGGAAGCCTACCCAAAAAATAAACCCAAATACAAGGAGGTCTCCCCATCTGCCGGCAGAGGCTAGGACATGGGGCTGGCAATCTCCTGTGGGGTTACAGATGGAACTACTACTACATGTATCATGGTAGCACCCAGCGGTCCCAGCTAAGACTGGGGCCCACCGCAGGGGGTGCTGCACAGACACAGAGCTAGCCCCAAAGAGCTTCCAGTCCGACCCACTTTGGCAGAGGAATTAGCAGATTCGGAAAGGGCACTTTTCTTGGTGCAGCGAGAGCCGCTGCCCCGCGGGGACACGGAGACCCAAATATGGCTGTTAAACTGCAGTTGTCTGGCTAATCGTGGGGTCGATACAATTTGTATCGACCCCACGATTGGTCGATAAGGGCCGCTCTGCAGAGCCGCAGCAGGGTAGCTCCAGGAGCTGGCTCAAGCCAGGACCAAGTAGTCGCAGCTCAGGCCGGCTCTGAGAGCCACCCCTGCTGCAGCTCTGCATGTTAAATGTAGTAAGAGCAGCCGGGCTCTTACTACCTTTAAAATGCAGAGGAGCAGCATCCCGGACCAGCGTGAGCTGGGACTGCTCAGTCCCGGCTCGCACTGAGTCCAGCCAGCCCTGTCTGTGGGGTGGGAGGGGAGACTTCGCAGCAGCCTCCCCCATCCGCCAGGCGGCACTGTGGAAACACTGCTGGGGGAACCGTCTTTTAAGCCAGCTCCCCCCAGCACTGGCTCCTGTTCCCCTCCCCCTGCCTCTCATGGAGGCAGCGGCGGGGGGAGCGGGGGGAAGGAGCTATTAGCTAACATCCCTAGACCCAAATAGCCCCAGATCCCACAGTGAATCTGTAGCACAGCCAGGATCCTGATCCAAATTTCTTAGAGCCCAGCCCGTTGCAGTAACTGGGAAACCAACCTGACAGGCAGTCCCATCGCCGTGCTCGGCCTCGGTTTCCCCACCTATAAAATGGGGGAGATGATGGTTCTCTGTTTCCCACAGCTGTTGTGCGGTGAGCCACAGTGATCCCTAGGGCTCTTCCATCCGCGAGAGAGGGACCTTGAAAGGCGATCGCATCCTGCCTCCTGCGCTGACTCAGGACCGAGTTAACGTAGATGGGCCTTAGCATATTTGGAGACTGTTATTGGGCTCTCCCTTGGCCTTCTCTTCCCTAACTAAACCCACAGAGCTCTCCTCTGGACTCTTGCCAATTGGTCCACC